CGGTGGTCATTTTGGGCCAAAACGTACAGCTCATAAACTTCTTGAATGCGGTTTCTATTGGCCTAACATCTTTCGGGATTCTTTTCTATTTTGTAAAACTTGTGAAAGATGTCAACGTACAAGTAATTTAAGCCGTAGGAATGAAATACCGCTTAATTCTATACAAGTTTGTGAAATTTTTATGTTTGAGGAATTGACTATATGAGTCCTTTTACTTCGTCATTTGGAAATACTTAAATTATTTTAGCTGTGGATTATGTTTCTAAATGGGTAGAAGGTAAATCCACTCGGAATAATGATGCTAAAACTACAGTTAAGTTTTTGAAAAATATTTTTTCCATGTTTGGCATGCCACAGGCTATAATAAGCGACAGAGGAACACATTTCATCAATCGAGTAATCGAGTCGCTAATGAAGAAATTTGGAGTAACTCAAAGAATTGCTACTGCTTACCATTCACAAACAAATGGATAGACAGAAGTATCAAATCGAGAAATTAAAACAATTCTTAAGAAAATTGTTAAACTGGATCGAAAGGATTGGAGTTTAAAATTAACCGATGCACTTTGGGCATATCAAACTACTTATAAAGGTCCCATTGGGATGCCACCATACCGGCTTATTTTCGGTAAACCATGTCATTTACCGGTCGAGTTAGAACATCGGGCTTATTAGGTCGTTAAACAATGTAACATGGACATGGATGTAATTGGTGAAGCTCGGAAATTACACATTCAAGAACTTGAGAAAATCCGAAGAAATGCCTATGATAATGCTCGAATATTTAAAGAAAAAACAAAAGAATTTCACGATAGTAAAATTTCTTTTAAAACTTTTTCTGTCGTTCAAAAGATTTTATTATTTAACTCCAAATTTAAACTTTTTGTAGGAAAACTCATCAAAATGGCTCAGACCGTTTACAGTTACTCAAGTATTTCCTCACGGTGCTGTTGAAATTGAAGATAACTCAGGAATATGATTTAAAGTTAATGGTCAAAGATTGAAGCCATATTATGAAAATGCTCAGGGTTGGTCTAATCAAATAAATCAATTTAGAGGAACTCACGCTTTGAAAAATCAGGTCGTGGAGCTAACGACGTTAAACAAAAGCGCTTTATGGGAGACAACCCATTTCGTTATATTTTTGTTTTTTTTTTGTTTTTTTTCGTTTTATTTTCAACGAACTTTATTTCATTCTATTTTTTTATTTTGAGTAATTTTATTTTATTTTGAGTAATTTTATTTTATTTTTCTCTGAACAGATATGATTTCTGATCGAATGTTTCTTACCTTCGCCCGGGCTCGTCTCGACATGACCATGGTCGCGGTCGCCACTAGATTGAGGAGTATTCCTTTTCCCTATCTTTGATTTTAAATTTGATATACGTTTTGGGACAAAACGAAATAAGTGAGGGGGAGGATAAACATATGTCAAATTTTTCCTTGACTTATTTAATTGTTTGAAATTGAGTTATTCTGATGTTGATATGTTGGGATCGTTGGTTGCTAGTCTTGAATTTCGCTTTATACACTTTCTTCTTTTTGGATAATGACCATGATTTTGATCGAATTTAATTTGCATGATTGGTGATTGATATAGCTAGTGAATTTTTGTTGAGTATTGATATCTCATGCTTTTGTCGATATAGATGAACTTGACTCAATGCATATAAACTTTTCTTGTGAGATTTGAGCCTAACGAGCATACATTTTCTTTCTTGCTCATTGTTTAACTTGTGTGTGCCAAACTAATTAGGATATTCTAGAACTTGTAATCACAATGCATATCAAGACTACATGTTGAACGTAATGTTTTAATGTGATAGGGGCACCTAGGATAAACCCATTTTTCCCAAAAAGCCTACCCGTTTATATATCCACTAGTGAACCACGTTTGATCCTATTTCCCTTTTTTTGTTTTACACCTCATAATTAAACCCAAAGATTTTGTTTTTATTTTTTTCTCTCTTCTCACACCCTTATTGAGACTTGAGATCTTGTATCATTGTTGTTCCACGAAAAAAATTCAATGTTTAAAAAAAATCGAAAAAAACAAGTTGTTAACTGTTTCGAACAAAAAAAAGAAGAAGAAGAAGAAAATGACCCTTTGTTAAAAAAAGGAAGGAAAAATTGATCGCTTCAATTGTCTTTCATCTATTCTTTTTCCTTGTTTTGTTCTTCATTGCGCTCCATGTTAATTCGTGGACTGTTCTTAATTATTTTGATCTCTTGTTTTGGTATTTTAAACCCTTCTTTTTAGCCTTTCTCTACCCTAACCTAAGCCCCGTTACACCTTGTTTAAAGACCCCTTGATTATTGCATTATGTTCATTTTTCGTAGTAGAGACCTGATTGGATTCCAAACCTATGGGTAATATTTTGGTTAGTTTTGGTTTGAGCAATTTCATTTACCCTAAATACTTTGAGTGGATATATGTGTGAATCTTTATGAGGTATTGAGTCATGTTTCATTGAAATAGGCAATTAATTGGGATATCTTGCTTATTTTAAATTTTCTTGGTTATGTTTTTGCTTGATTATAACTTGAATTCGACAAATGTCATGGAATTAATTCGATTGGAAGTTTAAGGAATAAATTAAAATTTGAAGATGACAACTTATGATTTTGATATGTTAATTGAGGAATGCTTGAGGACAAGCATTGAATAAGTGAGGGGGAATTTGATAAGTGCTTAATTTAGTTAATATTTTACTTTTAAATTACTCCTTAATCATTGATTTTTGTGGCTTATTTGTTCATTTTAATTCATTTTCTGTACAGGACTTAAGATTCTGGAAATTGCACAAAAATGACACAATTCTGCAGTTTTTTTCATTTTCAGAATCAAAGCTGGCTGTAATTCGGATTTGAATTAAACTCAAGTTTAGGATAATATTTTAAACATTATATTTTATCTTTGTATTTTAGTTTAAATATGTTTTAGTATTTTAATTAAGTTTTAGGATATTATTTTTATATTTTATCTTTGTTTTAGGTATTTTAGTTTAAATAGTTTTAGCATTTTAATTAAGATTTAGAATATTATATTATTTTTTAGGTATTTTAGTTTAAAAAATTTTAAGTATTTTAATTAGGATTTAAAATGTTTTAGCTTGTTTTTAGGAATTTGAAGGCTATAAATACCCTCTAAGGATGAGCCTATAAACATCTCTCTCATTTGAGAATAAAATCATCTCTTTTTTTTTCTTTCTACTTTTCTCTCTATTTTTCGCATATTTTTCTATTATGCTAAGTATGATTTTGGTCATACTTAATTAATTTTCTTTCAAGCGAAGACTAAAGCGAAGACTCAATTCCAAACGTGAGAATTGTAAGGTACTTAAATCGCTTCGAATTTTCTCTCTATTTTCTGAGCCTACTTTTCAAATCAAAACGATTTCGACATTGGTCTGGATATTGTTCTGGTTAACCTTTGAAGAAGGATTTACTTATTGAATCATATTCAACTTCCCGAGAACACACTTAGCAAAATTGTTTGCTAAGAGGAAACTGGGTCAGAATCAGTTGTTATTGAAACAACACAATCCGAGTTGACAGCGAAGAATTGTCCTTGTAAGCTGTCGTGAATCTTGAAGTAAAAATCTGTTTCGATGATCCGAAGAATTTGAGACAAAGGTGAAGTCTGAGGCTGCTTTCACAATAAGTTTCTCTTTATCTCAATCTCTTTAATTTGTTTATTTAATTATTCTTATTCTTATTTTATTTTATTTTTATATTTAATTTTAAAAAAACAACTTTTAAAAATCCCCTTTTATATTTATTACTATTACTATTTATTATTTTATTATTTTTTTCTTTTTTTATAATTATTTATTTTATTATACTTTTTCAACTTCATTTGAACTCTATCTTCCTCTAAATCAAAAGAGTTTTAATAAATCACAAAAATCATAGTCCCTGTGGATTGATTCTGCTTCTTTATACTACATTTTCCTTTCTATTTAAGAAGTCGAAATTATTTTTGATAGCAATACTACGATTATAGTAATATATACAATTTGAAGTTTATAATTATGTATCTGCACCCCAAAATGCTGTAAAATGAATGAAGAAACTCTATTGACTTGCTGTTGCTGCAATTTTAGCACCATCATCACCAGCAGCGACGGCCGTCTCGGGCTTAATCTCCTCTAATTGCTGCAGAACCTGTTGAGCTTCGGGACGTGCTGCAGGTGAGGGATCAACACAATGAAGAGCCAGTTTCAATGTGTTAAGCAACTCATCATTTATGGTTTGTGTATTTCTCATCAGCTCCAAATTACTTCATTAGTCCATTCCTCTTTTACGATCGAAGCCACCCACTGCAGCAAGTCCATTCCGTTCATCGGCTCGCCCGGGGATTTCCCCGTAAGAAGCTCCAGTATGATCACTCCCAGACTGTACACGTCGGTCTTCGTGCTGGCATTCTTTAGCTTTGAGAGTTCTGGTGCTCTGTAGCCTAGTGTTCCCGCTGTGGCGATCACGTTTGTGCTGGCAGCGCGGTCATTAGCCTTGAAAGTCCGAAATCTACAATGTGGGCGTTGCTTTGCTCGTCAAGTAGTATATTGCTTGATGTGAGGTTTCCATGGATCATATTCTCTTATGTAGGTGGTTCAATCCTCTTGTAACACCGATTGCTATTTTCATCCTCGTCGGCCAATCGATGACAATTTCCGGCCCTCAAGCTGCGGACGAAATTTGACATTGTTAGCCATGGCAAAAGAAATGTGTAGTGAGAATATAAATGTTCAAGGTAGTTGAATCTACTTACCATGGAGGAAAGATGCAAAACTCCCTTTAGGCATGTAATCAAATACAAGAAGCTTCTCTCCCTTAGGTCCCAAGTAATAAGCCCTAAGAGCAAGAATATTGGGATGCCGGATCTTCCCGAGTGCCGCCACCTCGGCCTCGAACTCCCGCAGTCCCTTCATAGTCTTCTCCCTCAATCTCTTCATAGAAACTTGATTTCCATCTTCTAAAGTTGCCTTATACGCCGTACCTTAAGTGTTCTTCCCCATAATCTCAGCCGTGGCACACAATAGATCATCAGCTGTAAACACAAACGGACCATTAAAGTGGACTAATTTCCCACCCATTTTGCCGCCTGCTTCGACCTCAGTGCCGATTACCGAAACCCCCTTCTCAGTTTTCCCCATGACGGCGCCCATATTACCACACTCTTGCTTCAAACTAGCCTTTTTCTTCAACAAGCACCAGAGTAAGATTAAGCACAATATCAATAGAATTACTAGAAGGCCACCGACTGCTATGAGAATGATCTCCTTGATACTAAGTTTCCTGTGATAACGACAACGATGCTTCGGTACCTCTGTCGGTGCCGGAGAAAGATTTAACGGGGCAGGAGAATGACATATAGTCGATGTGCTGTAGCCGCATAGCTCAAGATTACCCACAAAAGAGCTTGAATTGAATTTTTTTGGCTAGGACAGTGTTGGATCATAAACTTGATCCATTATGGGAGCCTAAACCCAAACCTAAACTAAATTGATGTCATTACTTACATCATTTAATTAAAGATGTCATTGCTTACATCATTTAAGTAATGATGTCATTGCTTACATCAATTTAGTTAGGTGAGAGTTAGATATTTGTTGAATTTGTAATGGTTTAAATTAGTTTATTTGTGTGGTGTAGGATTGTTCTTGAGTAGTATAAATACCCCTTCACATTTTAGTTTTAAGCATCAAGAAAAATTAAGAGCTTCTAAGTGAGTGAAGAAAGTCTTATAAGAGTGAGTTGTAGTTCTTGTTTTTGAGTGAGAGTGCTCTTGTAATATTTGTTTGAGTTTCAATAAAAGTTGTTTGTGTGAATGTTTTATTTCCAACAAAGTGGCATCAGAGAGAGTTGGAAAGATCGAAGGTCTCGACGAGAGGAATCCGCCGCCGCCAGAATTTTCTCAATCTGAGTTCTGACGCACCGCCACGCACCGCCGGAAGACTGCTGTCAGAAAATCGAGTTGACTCACCGAGTTGGAGCCCTTGACCGAGTTGTTCAAGTTCCTCCCAAGGTTTTTTCGGCGTTCTGGATTCATTCGTGCAATCGGATTTTACAAAATCTCATTATATTGAGAGATATGGCAAATGGTATGGCACCATTCCAAGTTCCGACACTCAACTACGACAATTGGAGTATCAAAATGAAGGCACTTCTTGGATCACAAGATGTGTGGGATATCATAGAGAAAGGCTATAATGAGCCTGCGGATGATGATGCTTTTGCTACTCTTACACCAGATCAAAAGACAACTTTTGGCATATTCCGAGCTACTGCAAATGTAAGTTGGAGTATCAACATAATCTTAAAAACAAGGGCTGAAGCTTTTCCAATTTTTTCAGCCGGTTCACCGCATATTAGGGAAATTTGGGATTTGGTTCGATTCAAAGGGCAAAATGTTTCATGGCATAAACTTATTTGGTTTCCATTGCATATTCCAAAGTTTAGCTTGATAACTTGGATGGCATTACTGAACAAATTGCCTACTAGAGATCGCCTACTTCGAATGGGAATTACCACAGACAGTCTTTGTGTTAATTGTTGCAACTCTTACGAGACAAGGGACCATCTCTTTTCGCAATGTTCTCTAGCAGTGGAACTATGGTATTCAATTTTGAATCTTAATGGGATGAAGATCACTTACTTATCATGGGATGAAATGGTTTTAAAGGCATGTTCATCATGGAAAGGGAAGTCTCTTCTTACTTCCATCTTGAAAATTTCCTGGACTGCTTTTATTTACTCTCTGTGACAAGAAAGAAACCAGAGAATATTCCAAGGACGTCGTAGAACGATTGATTGCTTGCTCAAAGATGTTAAAGACGTTGTTGGAATCCGCCTTAGGGGAACAAATATTAATAGACTAGATAGTACTAACCTAATACTTTGTAATGCTTGGGGTATAGTCTAACCAATCATTTTGTAGGCTGTAATTTTGATTCTTTCATTGTTGATTGGTTGATGGTTGTAACTAAACCTTGATTTGGGTAATAAAATCAGAATTATCCACACACAAAAAAAGACAACTTTGAAGGATTCAAGAAAGAGAGACAAGAAGGCTCTCTACCTCATCTATCAAGCATTAGATGATGATGGTTTTGAAAAGATTTCAAGTGCAAGCTCTAGCAAGGAAGCGTGGGAGAAGCTACAAGCCTCTTACAAAGGATCCGAGCAAGTGAAGAAGGTTCGTGTCCAAACATTAAGAGGTGAATTCGAATCCTTAAACATGAAAGCATCTGAGTATATTTCAGATTATTTCTCAAGAGTAGTAGCTGTTTCTAATCAATTAAAAAGAAATGGTGAAAAGTTAGACGATGTGAGGATAATAGAGAAGATACTCCGTTCGTTGGATCCCAAATTTGAGCACATCGTCGTGACGATTGAAGAAACTAAAGACTTGGAAGAAATGACGATCGAGCAACTCCAAGGATCATTGCAAGCATACGAAGAGAAGCATAAGAAGAAGCATGAGTTTACTGAGCAACTCCTCAAGCTGCAACTCAAAGATATGCATGAAAGCCAACGCAATGATAGAAACCAACGTGGCTAAGGCAGAGGTAGAGGCCATGGACGAGGTGGAAGTCGAGGTCGTGGACGAGGTTGGAATTACAACAACAATGATTCCAACAACAACTATGAGAAAGGAGAAAGCTCAACACGAGGCCGTGGAAGAATCAATCCGAACTCAAGGCGTGATAAATCTCAAGTTCGATGTTATAATTGTCAAAAGTTTGGGCATTATGCTTCAGAATGTAGAGCTCCCAACAACAAAATTGAGGAGAAGGCTAACTACGTGGAGGAAAAGACAGATGGCAAAGAAACTCTTCTTCTAGCACGAAAGGAAACTGATGGTGGCCAAGCAAATTCCTGGTATCTTGACAGTGGTGCAAGCAATCACATGTGTGGAAGGAAAGACATGTTCGTGGAGCTAGACGAGTCAGTAAGCGGAAATGTTTCGTTTGGAGATGATTCCACAATTGCAGTGAAAGGGAGAGGTAACATTCTTATCCGTTTGAAAGATGGGAGACATCAATTTATTTCAAATGTCTACTATGTGCCCAATATGAAAAGTAACATCTTAAGTTTAGGGCAACTGGTAGAGAAAGGTTATGATATTCATATGAATAATTATAATCTTTCTATAAAAGATGATAAGAATAACTTCATTGTTAAAGTGCCGATGTCAAAGAATAGAATGTTCTTGATTAACATACAAAATGATGTTGCAAAGTGCCTGAAAGCTTGCTATAAAGATGCATCATGGCTTTGGCATCTTCGATTTGAGCATCTCAATTTTGGAGGTCTAGAGCTGCTATCTAAGAAGGAGATGGTGAAGGGACTACCTCGCATCAACCATCCTGATCAGCTTTGTGAAGGATGTCTAGCTGGGAAACAATTCAGGAAAAGATTTCCAAAGGAGTCAGAGACAAGAGCCAAGAAGCCACTTGAGCTCATCCATACCGATGTGTGTGGACCGATCAAGCCGAGCTCTCTCGGTAACAGTAACTATTTTCTTCTCTTCATTGATGATTTTTCAAGAAAAACCTGGGTATATTTCTTGAAACAGAAGTCAGAAGTTTTCGAAGTCTTCAAGAAGTTCAAAGCAGCAGTGGAAAGATAAAGCGGTAGAAAGATCAAAGCCATGAGATCCGACCGAGGTGGAGAATTTACTTCCAAGGAGTTTCAAGAGTTTTGTGAAGCAAATGGAATTCGTCGACCAATGACAGTTCCTAGATCCCCCCAGCAAAATGGTGTGGTAGAAAGAAAGAATAGAACAATCCTCGACATGGCACGAAGCATGCTCAAAAGCAAGAAACTACCCAAAGAATTTTGGGCGGAAGCAGTATCATGTGCAGTCTACTTGTCAAATCGATCTCCAACAACAAGAAGTGTATGGGGAAAGACACCGCAAGAGGCATGGAGTGGAAGAAAGCCTGGCATTTCCCACTTGAGAACCTTTGGAAGTATAGCCCATGTTCACGTACCAGACGAGAGAAGAACGAAGCTTGATGATAAAAGCGAGAGTTTTATCTTCATCGGCTATGATGCTAATTCGAAGGGCTACAAGTTGTACAATCCAGACAATAAAAAGTTTGTGATTAGTCTAGATGTAGTCTTCAACGAAGAAGGAGAATGGGATTTTAACTCTCATACAGATGACTTCAATTTCTTTCCTCAGTTTGAAGAAAGATGAGCAGACAATGAGGGAGCAACTAGATGAATCTCAATAAGAGCTTGCAACTCCACCCACTTCACCAACATCAACCACTCAAGGAGACTCATCACCTTCATCATCGTCAAGTGGGAGTTAAAGTGAAAGAGTTATGCAACGCATAAGAAGCCTTAGAGATCTCTATGAGGTAACTGAACGACAAGATAATCTTACATTATTTTGTCTGTTTGCCGATTGTGAATCAGTGAGCTTTCAAGAAGAGGTACAAGAAAAGAAATTGAGAGATGCGATGGACGAAGAAATCAAGGCCCGAGAAGAATGACACATGGGAACTTACCTCACTTCCCAAGGGACATAAGGCGATAGGTGTCAAATGGGTGTACAAAACAAAGCAAAACGCCAAAGGAGAGATTGAAAGGCACAAGGCGAGGCTAGTTGCTAAAGGCTATAGTCAAAAGGCTGGAATTGACTATGATGAGGTATTTGCTCCTGTTGCTCGATTGGAGACTATCAGACTAATCATTTCTTTGGCAGCTCAAAACAAGTGGAAGATACCACTATATAAGGGAGTATGTTGCAAGAAAAGATGTGGAAGTTGAATACGTGAAGTCACAAGATCAAGTTGCTGATATTTTTACCAAGCCACTGACCAGCGAAGACTTCTTAAGATTAAGGAACCTACTACGGGTCACGAGATCAAGTTTAAGGGGGGGTGTTGGATCATAAACTTGATCCATTATGGGAGCCTAAACCCAAACCCAAACTAAATTGATGTCATTACTTACATCATTTAATTAAAGATGTCATTGCTTACATCAATTTAGTTAGGTGAGAGTTAGATATTTGTTGAATTTGTAATGGTTTAAATTAGTTTATTTGTGTGGTGTAGGATTGTTCTTGAGTAGTATAAATACCCCTTCCCATTTTAGTTTTAAGCATCAAGAAAAATTAAGAGCTTCTAAGTGAGTGAAGAAAGTCTTATAAGAGTGAGTTTTAGTTCTTGTTTTTGAGTAAGAGTGCTCTTGTAATATTTGTTTGAGTTTCAATAAAAGTTGTTTGTGTGAGTGTTTTATTTCCAACAGCCAGATGGGACAACACCAGATAGATTGTTGTAAGAAACATTGAAATCACTAAGATTGGTTAGTCCGGCAAGCGAATCCAGTATTTCACCGGAAAACTTATTCCGGGATAAATCCAAAGAGACAAGAGAGGATATATTGGAAAAGTTAAAAGGAAAGCTCCCATTGATGGAATTGTTTGATAAATCTAGTAATTAGAGCTTTGACAGTGTCCCTATTTGATCAGGAATGGTCCCTGAAATCTGGTTATGGCTCAAAGAACCTGTTGTAATAAACTCAACTCGCTCAAAGAAACTGGAATTGTCCCAGTAAGGAAATTATAATCAAGCGACAAGACTTGAAGTTGGTAAGGTTTGGTTCCTGTTCCAACCCAGGTATCAGGGACAGAACCAGAAAGATTGTTGTGTTGCAAAGCAAGAATGGTGAGTGAAGGCAAACGAGTCAGACCAACAGGGATGGAACCGAACAAAGAATTATAGCTCAAATTAAGTCTAAACAACCTAGTTGAGTTCACAAGACTCGGAGGAATGTTACCAGTGAGTGAGTTGTTGCTAAGATCAAGAGTTTGAAGAGAGTGACAGTTACCGATCGTCGGAGGGATCGAACCGGAAAGCAGGTTGTTGAAGAGGTAAACCCCTCGGAGATAAGGCCGAAACCCGAGCGACCGAGGGAGTGGACCGGCGAGAACATTTTCATGGAGGCTAAGCTTTTTGAGTGCTTTAAGCTGACCGTCTTTTTCTGAAATGCGACCGCCTAGGCGACGCCATGGAAGCTGGATATAGATGACTCGTCCATTGACGCACTTGATTCCTGCCCAAGCACCGGAGCAAACTCCATAGCCGCCGGTGTCGTTCCAGGTGCGTAGGAAGCCTCTGGAGTCGACTAGTTCGTGCTTGAAGGCTCGAAGAGCTCGATAATCAGCTGGGTTTACAATGACACCATCTGAGGCCGAAAGAGATGAAAAGGGCAGCAGAAAGAGGAACAAGCAGGCCAATAGAAAAGAAGTATTTGCATGGAAGAGATGAGAAGAATAAGTATTTTCCATGAAAAGGTTCACTTTTCCCTCGAAGAATAGAGAGAGAAAAAGAAGCAGAGGGAGGGAGAAGGTAGAGAAATAAGAGAGAACTAAGAGAGAAATGAAAAAAAGGGAAATCTCTTTAATAGTTGTGGTATTGGAGTGACCGAACAAACAAAGTGGGGATGGGGTCTTGTTCTTTGGTAATAGTAATAGTTTTAGACATAAAACCGTTGCGAATTGGGCAGTAAACATGTCTTTGTTTTCAACTGAAAAAAAAAATCAACAAGAACAACGTTCGTGACGTAGTAGCTAAACGGCTATATTTCATGGCTTGGAGTTGGGACCACCCCTCGTTCATGCAGGATTGAATCTACGTTATTATCTTACTCGAAAAAAAAATAATCTAGGTTATTATCAATCCTTCTGATGTGAACAAAATTTCTACAAATATTTATTTATTTTTTACTTTTACATTAGAGTTGTCCCTAGGGATGGGCATGAACCCGAATCCGACGGGTTCCGACCCGATCGGGTCGGATTTTTTTTTTAAAAATCGGATTTGGGTCGGGTCGGATTTTTTTAAGGTGATATTCGGATCGGGTCTGATTCGGGATTAGAGTGAAAAATATCCGACCCGACCCGAAAAAATATATTTTTCTTATATATTTAAGAATAATTACTTAATACCCCTCTATATATTATTTTTTTCAATTATATCATTGTTTTTACTGAATACAAATATTATTATTATTATTTCGGGTCGGGTCGGGTGAAATGTAAAATTTTTTGGTCGGGTCGGGTTGGCCGAAATCCGACCCAAACCCAACCCATGCCCATCCCTAGTTGTCCCAGACATTTTCGAGGCTCTGTGCGAAAATTAAAAAATATGACTTTATAAAATGAAGGTATATTTCATTACTTTGAATAATTAATTCAATATTACATAAATAATTTATAGAAAAATAATTAAATTTTGTGAAAATTCATTATTATTTTTATTATTTTATTAAGAAAAAACCTTAAATACAACTAAAAAAGAATAAATATAAAAAAATTGAATGTAGTTGGATTTTGAATAATAGATAAAAAAAAGAATTGTATATTATTTTATTGTTAGATTGAGAATGAAAAAGAAGACTAAAGATTAAATAATATTTGATAAATTAAAGAGTAAGATTTAAAAAAAGAGAGAAGAAAAATATGATTAGATTTAGTTCAGAATCGAAAGAATAAATAAGAGAAATGACAAAAGAAAATCAAAAACTAAACATTTTATAAAACTATAAAAATTATAAATATAAAAAATTAGTTAAATCTATTTCAAAATTGGACGAATTAATAAGAGAAATGGAAAAAGAGGATCAAAAACTAAAAAATTATGAAATTATTAAAATTAGGGGCTCTAATTATAAATATAAAAAATTAGAGACCCTAATTATAAAAAAAATTAGGGGCCTAGAGCGGTTGCTCAGGATGCTCCCCGTAGAGTCAGCCCTATTCCAGATATATCATTAGGATATTTATGTATATTTGTAAAAAAAATGTTTTATATTTAAAAAAGATCAAATATTTGTATTCGAATTATCATAACTAGTGATAGATTTATAAATATTTTTTAAGATAAACACATATATTAACATATAAAATTTTTATAATACAAAGTAAACACAATTAGTAAAATGAATAACTAGCAAAAAAATTAATTTTCAAGATAAACACTTACCTATTCTAAATGTCATGTGCATATGCTGCTGTTGACTATAATAAAATAAAATAAATTTGATCCAATAATTTATGTTAAAATAAAGTTTTACTTAACATTAAATCTCAAATCAATGAAATATTATCGTAATTTTTACGAAAACGTTGTCGTTCATCATTTATTTAAAGGTTTGAAATAATTTCCATATTGATTAGTAAAGTCGTTTGCAAATAAGAGTAGTTTTAATAAAATCATCGATAAATAAAAACAATTTTAATAAAATGTACGAATTAAAAAAGAAATTTTTAAAAACCAACTCTTTTAATGAAAATGATAAATTTTAAATAATTAATTTTTTGGCTTTAACAGTAGTTAAATATTTTTGATATAATCACACATTTGGTCCATGTTATTTAGATATTCTCTCAATTTAATCATATTTTTAAATCTATTATGTTAGTTTGTTAACTATAATATTTATTCGACTGATGTATATGATAAAGTAAGTCTAATTATATTGTTTATCAGCTATCATTTTATCACATTCTCTTATATCTTTGGTCATCTAGACACTTATAAATTTGTTTTATTATCGTTTATCAATTTAATTTTGTCAAAATATTTATAAAATTCACAAAACTTTAACACTTATCTCTTTCTTCCTTAGAAGGGTAAAAACTTTTTCGGATTTAATGGTTTTGTACGTGGCCAACCAAAAGTTTAAATAGTAAGAAATATGCTTTCAATAATAAAAATAATATATTATGAAATTAACTTCATCTAACCATTATCGACAGAGATTTGAGCATTAGAAGATTAAAATTCTAACTTGATTTTGAATGAATTTTGAGAAACACAAAATTATTGAGAAGAAAATGGAATAAAAGGTAAACATTGTTGTACCATCTATGCCACGTATGTTGGTAGATGATAATTGAAAGGATTTAAGATCTTTTTACAAAAGAAAAAAAAATCACACCATAAACCGCTTTAAAATATTAACAATTTTATAACTAAAAAATGAATTAGAAAACTTTAGTACTATAATTTTAATTTTTATAGCTCAATGATAAAAAAATATGGTCAAAGTATAATATTTAAGAATATATTTTACCCTTTAAAAAACAACAATCACAAAATTAAGCACAATAAAGAGACTGAAATGAGAATTAAACTTTTAAGAGTTATATCGGATTAGGATTAAATTGAGAGAATATGTAAATAATATGGACCAAATATGTGATTATATCAAAATATTTAACTGTTGTTAACGACAGTTAACTCGAGGTGGCCACATCTTAATTAAATAAAAACGAAGATAAATATATTACAACAAACGAAAAATTATAAAACTAGAAAAAGCTCAAACAAAAGACAACGAATTTAAATACAAACTACAAATTAATAATCATGGTGAAAAAGAATTTAAATTAAAGATACTCAAGTCAAGCATCTACTATATGATTTCCTCCTACTTCCTTCATATTCGAATAGACAACTTAAGGGATGAGGTTCTTACAATCATCTTTTCTATCGTGCTCTTTATCGTGTTTGGGGCTGTAATTACATTTAAGTGTGCAGGTAAGAAAGGCGATCAACTGGAGGAAGAGGGTGTCATAAAAATAGAAGGAAGATGGGGTTGAAGTTTTGGAAGCAGCCAAAGATAAGGTCGAAGCCATTGCTGAAGTCGATGGTGACCAAGTAGAAGTTGGCATGGAGGTCCGTTGGATCGTTATTTCATGATACTTGGCTATGTGCTGTGTGCATGTTTTATGTAGAAGGAAATGAAGGTATGATACATTTAGCTCCCGTGTTCTGTATTTCTTTTTGTTGTTTTATGTACATAAACACAAATACACGCAATCAATGGCGAGTGTTGAGGGAGCTGACTGTTGGTATTCACGTTGGCAATGTTTCTATTACTCGATGTTAACAAAGAAGAGGAATCACTCGAAAGCGAAAGAAACGGAGGTAGAGGTTTCCGGTACCCAAATGGCAAATGAACTTGAGGTGACGGAGGTGAAGGTTTCCGTCGGAAAAAAAGGTTGGTGGTTGCTTTGGCGATTGAGAAAACAAAACAAAAGATGATGAAAAAAAGGGGGGAAAAAAAAGAAGAGTCATAAATCGATAATGTTATTATAGTAACGGCCGTCGTTAATGGTCATAAATCGATAGCATTATTGATTAATTTGCTATTTTTAAAACTTCGGTTTGTAGTATTGAACATCTCAGACCCTATAACGATTTACATTCAATGATTAAAGATAAAGCATTGATCCATTAAGATGCTATAGCATCTTGCACTGGAATTTACATCAAGTAAATGGATTCACCAGTATAGAGTAGATCCATGTACATTTCATTGATTTTAATACAAAAGTTAGTAAGTAAATGGAGGGGGAAAGGAATAAAATTGGGTAAATTTATTGTCTACAAGAAAAGAAAAAATTGAATAGTGAATCAATCACAAATGAAGCGATATTGAATTACCCTCGGGAACGAGATTCAGAAAGACCGATCCAAGGATAAGGTTCAGAGGCGAGTAGCAACGCCAGGGGCGGCGGCGGATGCGGCGACATTGGAGGCACCACCACCGAGGAATGACAAGAAACCGGGGGAGGCTGGTTCTTGCTCGTCCAAGAAGAGATCCTCAGGGACCCTGAAGGCACTGTGAGCGCAGACGAGACCGCAGCCAACCATGATAGCGGAAATGATGAGAGATCCAACGGAGGTGAGGAAGATAAGGAAGACGCTAAAGATGATGAGGCCTCCGAGGGTCTCGCGATCGGAGTATGTGCGGCCGAAGATCACGAGAGGCTCGTCGACGGGGCGGAAGAGGTAGAGGAAGATCCACGAGAAGAGGAGGGCGAGGAGGAGGAGGAGCGAAAATGGATGGGAGAGAAGCGACAAAGCGAGAATGAGACCGACGACGAAGAGATAATTGATTCGGAAGTAGGAGTAATTCTTGCGGAGACGGAGGGTGGCTTCGGAGAAAGACTCGGGCTTGGTGAAGGCGGAACGGTCGGCGAGTTCAGCCCAGGGACGGTTCTGGGAGAGGCCATTGCGAAGGTAATCGTTGATGTGGGTGAAGAAGGTACGGAATGCGGAGACGGGGACGACTTGGGGTTGGTCGGCGGATTGGACGTTGGAGACGGAGAGGACGGGAGGAGCGGAGGAGGACATGGCGGTTGAATTGGAGGTAAATGCTTTTTTTTGGGAGAAGTTGTGGGGGATATTAGATACTATTAGAGAACACAGAATATTAACTCTGTTTGGCGTGGAGAAAATGGAGGAAATACAAGGACGTACGTTTTCACGCTGTTTCCCTTGCGTTTCCTAATTATTTTCCAAACAAAATTCTAATTACTGGACTTCAGTTAAATCAAAATTAATATTCTGCAAACTCTAATCTTAGCCACCCGTCTTTCAAAACTCGGATCCAGCGTTGAATTGGTCAAATCTCTATATCAATTTAATTATTTTCATTAAATTGTAATGTATTATAAGAACACATATATTAATAAAATAATTAAACTAATTTATATACTGATAAAACAATATTAACTCGAAAATGTGTTAAATAATTTGTAAATTAGTTTTAAAATATTAATGAATGTGTTAATTGAATTAATAAAATATAAAATTTAGATATAATTTAATGGATAGATCTTTATAAACTTTTACATTAATATTTTTTAACTTAAAATTAAATATTAACTTTATTTTTTTGACTAAAAATATTAACTTTATTAAAAACATTTACAAGTTATCTTAAATTGTGACAATATCCTACTAATAAAATAATAGTAATTTTACATTCTATATATATATATATATACAGAAATACTTTGACCACAGGGGCTCAGCCATGGATGTCAATCTCTTCCTTGTATAAGCATTTTATATGTGTATATAAGCATTGTGTAAGTGAAATATACAGGGTAATGAGCAGAAAGAATATCAGCATACCCCAACAGAATGACAATTTTGAGGCACAGAATATACCATCCATCCACAATTTGATCCAAACTTTTTTAACCAAGTAGAGCTCAAGAATCACTCCAACCATCTTCATCGTCGTCTTCGTTGCTTCCGGCCAAAGCCTATTTTAAGAGAGATGATTTATATTAAAAAAGGGAACTGAACACTGCTAACATGGCTGTGACATAACAGGCAGCGAACACGAACCTGGCGAATTGCATTTGCTTTCTCCAAGATCGCTGCGACTCTTATGTTGGTTTTAGGACCCTCAACCCGGGGTCTGGTCACCACCACTGCAGGCTTCAAGTTAAAGGACTGTAGAAAGCGAAACAGATCAATGCATTCCCCAATCCCCGCCAATAAAACAATTTATCTCTTTTAAAAGAAGGGAACAAATGGATCAAACCTTTGTTCGTATCTGTTCCAGCAATGAATCTCTTTCATCTACCTTGGGTATGATTGAAGGTCGATTCTGCTCGGTTACCTTTCTCATCTGCAGAAAATTTAAACTGTCACTTCAAAACAAACAGGCGGACAGGCCTAAGAGAAAAAAACTGTTAAACCGAAAAGCAAGGCCATAACCACCTTGCTTTTGTCATGAGCAGAAACATCATCTATGAGAGGACTGCGAGGACGAGGAAGTTTAACAGGTGAATTCCCATTTGAGTTTTCTTCTTCAGCAACTTGTACTAAAGCATGTGTATTTGAGGGCCATGCTGTCTCTCCCTCTGAAGTTGACAAATCATGCTCTATAAGTGTGGATTCTCCCTCTGGAGCTGCCAAGCCATGCTGAACAATGACATTTGGCGTCTGCACCTTTTCTGCCTCAGAAGCTGCCAAACCATGCCGAGGCTGCTCGTCTACCTTAGTTGTGAACTGCTCTACTTTGGTTGGAATTGGCTCCTCTCTCTTAGTTGGTAGGCACGCAGATACAACAAGAGGATTCCCATGTTCTCTATCAAAACTTTGTTTAGGGTTCTGAAATGCCCCACCTTCTAAACTTGCATCCAGTACAAACTGGTTTGGACGGTGTGATGTTTCCTCATGCAAAGATACAGGAATGTGTCTACAAGTTGCATCAGTAGGTGGTATCGGCAATTGATCAGAATCACCAGACCTCTCTTCACCAGGCACAAGGGGTAGAAATGGATTTCGGTGCTGTTCGAAGCCCTGCTCCGGCGCTGGTAAACCTAACTGAGCTTTCTCACCATATTGAACTCTGCCCGTCCTCCACTGCATTGGAGGAAGAGGTGGCAATGGTGGCATTTCCTCGATGACATATTCAGTTGCTTCAGGGTGCAGGCCAAAGGCATGATGAATGAGATCAGATGGATATCTTTCTTGTTTATCCCGCCTACCTGATTGTTCTGTAAAATCAAATGAAGGATCCGTTGAAGAGCCTTCTTTGGAATGTTCAAAAGAAGACTGCAAGCATATTTCCTGATCCATGGGATCCGGAGATTGTATCTGTCTTGAACCATCTTCAGCTATGTACAGTTTTTCCACATCATGTTGATTATCATGGATGTCTAACGGCAACACTAAACTATTTTCTTTTTCTGATTGGTAATGGGTAGTTGAAGGCACCATGTCTTCCTTACATTCCTTTAGATGACTCGAATGTTCTAATTCTGACTCTTTATCACTGAATTCTGAAGAAGCTGGTGCGGTGGCTAAATCAATGAAATTCAAGCTATCTTTGGTTGGTTCAGCCAGAGTCGCATAGTGGACTGTATCTTCTAAATTGGAATTGGTATAAGAGACCGACTTGCATGAAGTGGAATCTACATCTGCTGGAGTACCTACCACTTGATTTGTTGCTTCTTCCGTCTCCAACTCTGTAAGACATTCTTGAGAAACAACCTCATTGGACTCCAATCCTTCATGACACATATCTCTATCACCAGCAAGAAACACTTCCAAATCCATTTGTTTTCCAGATGGAGGGCAAATCAAATTTGAAGAGTGATATATAGTATCATCAACATCATTTCCGAAGTAGGCAGAATTATAAGCAGCAGCAGATACTGCAATACTTCCAGCATGAACATTTTCAGTTGCCAGATCATCTAAATCCTCAAGGTTCTTGAGGTTCAAATTATCAGAAAAATCATAAGGAAGGTCACAACGAATAACATCTTCCACCTCATTCGCACTGCAAGTAAATCCCATAGTTTCTTCTCCCTCTGTAGCGTCAGAAATTTCAACAACATTTTGTTTCTGTTCAGAATATGAAGCCTCTCTCTCTGTTAGGCTAGCCTCAACTTCTGGACCATGATGTAATATGTCCGAAAATTGATGTTCATTAAAGCCACAAATCTGTGAAGCATCCACCACTGGAGTTATACACTCTTCTCCTTCAGTGAAGGTTGAACAAAGGCCCTGCTCCTCCGTCGATGAAATAATGCAGTTTGGTGAACCAATTGTTTGGTTGACTGAATTCCCAGCACAAATTTCCCCAGCAAAATCTGTTTCAAGAACTTCATCTAAATGATCATTGTCGCTTCCTTTCAAAGGAGAAACCTGTAAAACATTCAATAAATGTGACAAAGCATCAGAAGAGACATTTAAGTCTCCACAGCCCAACTCATATACTGAATGACTTCCAGAAGAAAGAGTGATCAAGTTAACCTGTTTCTCAGAAGAATAAGAAAAAATGACTTCTGAAGAATCATTCAAACATTGTCCGCAATCACTGTCTGACAAATTAGAATTTGATTTACCATCAGAGGCTACTTCTTCGTGTTGTGGTTCCAACAAAGGAATTGCCAATGGACTTACTTCATCCAACAATATATGTGTAGAGTTCAAATCTTCCAGACATAAACTATAGGATGCCTCTCCAAGATCAGGAAGGCAATGTTCACCAAAAGAACTATCTTTTTGTAACAAAATCTGATCGGAACTGGGACATTGCATCTCCAAACATGTAGGAAGCTGGATGGGAGGTGCCTGAACAATCTCAGTAACAAAGTTTCTATTTGAAGGGACCACTTCTTCTGCTATTTCACCATCTGACGCCATATCTTTAGCCAGATTGTGTATAGTATCAGAATTGGTAAAACCAGATCTTTTCTTAATAGAGCAGTTTCCATCATCAGATGCAGAGGAGATCCAATCTGATTGATAATATGATGAATAGTCTTGGGCTCCAAGCTTTTCCTCTTTTGCATGAGAACCTGTTTGATACTTCCCAATAATCTCGAAGTCAATACCATTCTTCAGTTTATACTCGTTGTCCGTATCCATTTCAGACTCCATGGTAGTAATTGCATCAATGTTGTCAGCCTCACTGGTCACGTCATCGGAATGGTCCGCATATACATTGTAATCTTCCATGCCTTCCCTATCAACTATTATCTCCTCTTCGGTTGTTACTTTGTGAAGGGAAAGGGGGATTCCATCCTTGATATCAACTGTTGTCTCAGGCACCTTCATAACGTCTGTATCAATGACTTCTTCATTCAACTCTTCAATGGATGGTTTCAAGACAATTTCATGTACAGTAGGTTCAGAACTTAAGGTTTCCTTTCCTTGTGAAGACACATTTACAGGACTCGCTGTACTAATATCAAGTGTTTCAGGCCCCGACCCACTAGAATTATCCAATGTCAACCTTAGAGGCAGAGTACCAGAGTTCTCGTAAACAGCAACTTTCTTTTGTGCAGGGGTCTCCAGGAATTTCTCCAGGTAGCTTCTCCCAGATTTTGAGTCAAGTGGAGATTCATTTAATTGCCTTCTTTTCAGTTTTACAAGACGGGCAGGGTCATTGTAAGCATTCTCAATATGCTCCTCCAAAAACAGATTATGAAATCTGCACGATTAGATACCAATTCAATTACCAAGATACCACCATATTAAAACTTTAATACGTGCAGTTAAATAACTAGAAGAAAGATAAAAGGCACAGACGAAGAATTGAAGGACTCACTTGGCATGTGATGTTTGTGGAAATTCTGGAGTCTCCCCATTCTTCCAGCGTGATCCTTTCTTCTTCCAGAAATAAAAGATTAGACAATACGGATATATGCAAAATTACCATATATTACAACTAGCCAAAAGGAAATCTGTGCTAATTTCTAAAACCATGAGGTGCCAAAAAAATTATCATTCAGTGCCAGCCCTTAAACTAATTTTTATTTTATGGTATATAAAAGGAAATAGAATGCTTAATGCAGGTGAGAACTGAGAAGTAACTTAATTAGTACTTTATAATTGGTTTAAATTTAAATCACCCCAAATGCAAAAATGGAACCTCCAGAGAGCAGGGCATAAGATATAAAGCTTGCTGATCACAAGAAAGCACACCTCAACCAGATAATTTAAGTTTGAGAGTGGAGCTAGTGACCAAGCTTGCTATGATCTGCTCACAGAATCTCATGGATGCCCGTCATGAAATGATGATGAAAAAGAGTAATTCAACAATGATGAAACACTTGTCCCCAGTGAAAATTAAATAAATCAGTCCAATAAGACTATTGATAGGCTTTAGGGCCATTTTAAAGACCAAGTTCAAGTTTATTTTGTTAAGAGGTAGAAAATCAGGGTCATTCTAGAGACCTATCTCCTAATCTCTGCCATAAATGAGACAAAACTGCAAATTGCTAAAATAACTTGCAAAAAAATTTTAAGCAGATATTTCCCGTTTTCTTTTATTTATTTTATGGTAGTACCTTCACTTTATGTGCTTTCTTTTCTCTTGGAAATTCTAATGGTGCAATTCCAGTGAAAGCCGGTTCTGCTTTAAAAAACGATGGATCAGTGTAACGCTTTAAACATGCCCCAGCACCCGCAATATCAAATCTGGAACAAGTTAAAAGTTGTTAGAATATTTGCTATCGGTATGAAAAGGACTTGCAACAAAATTATTGAACTTAAGACCAGTATAATCGTCCTACTTGTCCAAAAGGAACAATCGTGGAGGGGCTCTGCATTCCTCATAAGAATCCAGCACACAGCGAGGTAAGTCACCACGAGTGATTAGATTATGTTCAGTGCGCAGATTAGGAAGCCATTCAACACCTGAGAAAGGATAATACATTTGTTGACCAGTTTAGCGGATAATGTCTTTGTGCAAGTAAACTCCAATATTCTGTTTCAAAACCATAAATAAATATAATCAATTAGCTCCATCACTTAAAGCTGACTCATTGTATGCCATGATCTCATTTCCTATCCATTCCATTATTGCATGCCAATGTAAGTGAATCTGTGCATACTGATTCCATGACAATTTCCAGGACAAAGTCATTAAAAGATGTATCTTTTGGTAAACAAACTTTTTTCCCCTGTAGGTGCTGATAGTACATGGGAAATATAATACCCATATTGTAGACACCAGGCACTCAACCCCCGGAATCTAGGATAGTTGTTTCAAAAGAAATACGACATATGAAACCAGCACATACGTTAAAGTGCACCTTTATGAGAAGAAATGATCCAGAAGCAAGAGTAAGAGTCAAATCGTAAACATAAAAATCATAACATGTTTCTGCAAAAAAAGTGTTAGTAAAAGCTTGAACCTAACCTGCATTGGTAAAGAATAATGACTGACTGGTTTTCGATAAAAATGCCTTCTCATCGGAAGGGAACTCAGCCTCAAGTTGTTCAACTCGGGCCATTAGAACATGGCCTCTAGCAGCAGTTGTCGTTACCTCTTCATGCAAGTGGTGGAATATCTCAGCAGCAAACCTTTTGTCAATCACCAAGGAAAAGCAATTTTAAAACCAGAGAGAAGGTAGGAAGCAAAAATAACACATCAAAATTGCCACCAGAGTGCTACAACTCCAACAGGAAATCCCTAGTAAACGTGGCAGTCATACACCATGATTCCAAGTCTATAGAGAAAATTTCCGATATTTAGTTTCAATTAATGCATTTAAGGAAAATATCAAAATTGATATAGATAGGGCTGAGCATTTGATCGAGTCGAGTCGAGTCAAAAAATTTTGAATTATTCGAGTTGACGAGTCCTATTTTACAACTCGGACTTGATTTGAAATTTTTTCGAGTCGAGTCGATTTTTCGAGTTTATGTTTAAATTTAATTATAAATATTTTATAATAATATTTTATTATAATTTAAGTGAGTTTCTATAACCATATATACAATATAAATATATTTCTTCATATTTTTTTCATACATGATATACATATATCATCCAAAGTCCAAGGACTCTTAAACTTAAAAATAAATCCACTAATTACTAAAACATTTCGAGTTATTCGAGTTGCATTTTTAAACTCGATTTGAATTTGAAATTTTTTCGATTCAAGTCGAGTTTATAAAATTGTAACTCCAAGTTAATTCGAGTCGATTTTTTTAGTTGAATCGAGTTAAAAATTTTGGTTTTTCGAGTCGAGTCGAATTTTACTCACCCCTAGATATAGAATAATTTGAATTAACGGATTGTTCCAAAAAAAAACACTCACCCATAGACAAGCGAAATTGATAACAAAGTAACTATGAAAATTCCAACTCTCATATTCAAATGGCAGAAACTAAAATTAAAATTGTTTACACTTTAGAAAATCATTTAAAGATTCTGGTTCGTTTCTATAGCCTCGAGCTTAAAGGAAGGAAACAGCGAATTAAGCAAACTAACAAACAAATAAAATTCCAAAAAATTGTTTTACTCACCCCTAGATATAGAATAATTTGAATTAACGGATTGTTCAAAAAAAAAAACACTCACCCATAGACAAGCGAAATTGATAACAGAGTAACTACGAAAATTCCAACTCTCATATTCAAATGGCAGAAACTAAAATTAAAATTGTTTACACTTTAGAAAATCATTTAAAGATTCTGGTTCGTTTCTATAGCCTCGAGCTTAAAGCAAGGAAACAGCGAATTAAGCAAACTAACAAACAAATAAAATTCAACCAAAATCTGATTAGTGTAAGACAGAGAGAGAGAGTGACTCGGCGGGTCACCGAGCTGGCGCAAAACAGAGAATTAAGCAAACTAACAAACAAATAAAATTCAACCAATCTGATAAGTGTAAGCGTGGAGAGAGAGAAACTGACTCGGCGAGGTCACCGAGCAGGCGCAAAACGCCAACAAGGCCAGACATGGAAACGCCTTCAAGTAAAGCCTCGGGATCATCCTTTTCGGTAGCTCTATACAGCTCCGGATCGGCCAAGCTGAACTCGTTCTTAATCTGGTACCTTGTCAACGGCATTTCTTCGCCAAAAAGATGAACAAACAAATTCCGAACTACTTCTGTTATGAAAAAACAGAGAACAGGAAAAAATTAATCAAAATCTATTTCAATGTTTGAAACTGCACTGAGCTCATCATAGTTTCATCATTTTTTTTTGCTGGCTCTCTCTCTCTCCCTCTCTCCCTCTCTCCCTCTCTCCCTAAGTTTAGTATTTATAAAGGAAAATGAATCATTTGATGGAATGAACATGTGATATAACAGTATGTATGCCCGCACGATTTTTCGGATCTTATATTTTTTTTATTCATAAAATTATTTTGAAGTAATTGTGAAGTTTTATTAAAGAATAATTTAAAACAGTTTTTATTAATAGAATGTATCATATAAAATAAAAAACGTTATACATATGAGAATAATTTTTAAAAATATCCGTCAATTGAGAGTCTTAGACAGATTCTTTCTATTATTAGAGCATAAAATTTTGACACGTTATTTTTCAATAAATTGTTTTAAACTTTGTTTATTTTTTTGAATAAATCACTGGTATCTAATCTATTGACCCACTAATCCAGATCGGGTACTGCAGAGGCGAGGGCGACCCTCCCAACCAGTTTGCTCCATTCGCAAACGTTAGGATTCGAATCCCTGACATTGCTTAAGGGACCTAATGTCTCATCCTACTAGACCAACTGGTTTAATCTAGGATTAGTACAAGTACTAGTATTTGTTTTAAAGACTCCAACAAATACTCATTACCCTACAATCGTTGATGCTTGAACCCGGAATCTCTAAGGATAACAACTATCTCTTTAATCGTTGAAGTCAATTGGTTCTTCCCTCATTCTTTTGTTTATATTAAGTTATAAAAAATATATTCATAATCTATTAGCATTGACAGTAAAAAATTAATTAGGTACAAAATTTATCAAGTGGCGTTAGTGGTAAATATTGCTCTTCATAAAGCTTTTGTATTCGAGCAGTTGTGTCTGTAGAATGTGTGTACGTTACCAATTGGTTAAGAAAATTTTGAACAAATACTCGAACTTACTACCACTCCAACAACAAATACGGTTGAAGTTGGTTGCTGATAGTAAATACAAACAAGCAATTACGTGCTCTTAAAAAATTAATTGGGTTTGATTTATAAATAATGGTGTAATTGGTGAGTGCCCATCTTCTTCGTTCCTAAAATATTTTCGGTGTAGGGTTTCCCCACTCCATCAACGACTTCCTATTTGTCTTAAAATACACGCCCAACACCATATTAACTTTGCTTTTAAGATACATCATATAATAGAAGTAATAATATTGATATAGACAAACAAATAAAGGTGAAAGATTTTAATTTTTGTATTATATATATTTTAAATAATTATAACAATTAATTTTATTAAATCATTGGCGAGAATAAATTTATCTTATTGGTCGTTGACGGCTCAATTTTTTTGAGGTATGTGATGAGACACAATCGATATGATAAAGTCATTGTTCGGTGTTCCTCTATAAGAAAAAGATGAAAGTGAGAGAGAGTAGACAAGTTTGGGAGGAGAAGAAAATAAATCCTTCTTTCTTATTCGTGGTTGAGAGATATTTATAGTGATCTTAGCTAATAGGGTTAGACATAGGATAACTATGATTGGTCATAGATCAACAAGCTAAATAAATTTTATTGTCAGAGCTTATATTTTACTATGATAGATATGTGAGCCTATTAGAAGTCTTCAGGCCCGTCCCTACCATGGGCAAAAGGGGCAATCACCCATGGCCCTTATTTGCTCAAGGACTAAAACTATAAGTTTATATATAATTAAAAAGGATAAATTATTTATTCAGTCACTTACTTATTATTTTATTTTTGTTTTGACCATCCAATTATTATTTTTCTTCAAAAGCATACTTAACGTTACATTTTTATTTCTTTTTTGTTACTCATCATTAAAAAATTAACAGGAATGCTAAAGTGACATTTTTAAATTATTTTTTTTACTTTTCATTTAATTATTATTTAATTCATTTTTTTGTAATACATATTATTATGGGCCTAGTTTTTATATTCGTTCTAGGCCACTAAAAGCTCAAAAACGGGCATGAAAGTCTTGTCTATGCATTATAGTTAGCTCGGAGGCAAGGATATAGATTCTTTGAGAACTCTGATAAATAAAGGAGTCTATATAAAAATATTGAATGACTAAATTTTTGAAAGTGAGTTTCAAAAATATAATAGAAGTTCACATTATCAAAAAAAAATGATAAAACTCAAAGTAAAATAAATCACACTCATATAGAAAAAGTTTAAAAAAATTATAAAATTCATATGGTTTTTTTTATCAGCCAGCATTAGTGGTAGATTTTGTTAGCGAATTAAAAAGGTATGGTCCTTGGGTGAATAGTGATGTAGAACTAAGTAATTTCATGGGTGGAAATAGGCCAACATGTTAAAAGTTAATTCAAAGTTTGGCAATCAACTTTGAAAAATGTTTTTCAAAGTTTGGTAAATGTTTCTTTGAAAAAATATTTTTCAAAGTTTGGTAAAGTTTGGTAGATGTTTGTTGAAAATAGGAATGAGCTTCAAAATCATCACAAATCATTTCTTTCTCCCAATACTAGAGAGTTTCTTGTGAGTAGTGAGTGTTTTGTAAACACTTGTAAATTTTCTCTCTTAGTAAAATATCTGCAGCAGTCCAGAGACGTAAGCACAATTGGCTGAACTCCGTTATCAATTTTCGGGTATTATTTTTCCGCTTTTATTTCGCATTCTCACTAATCTGGTTATAGGGAAATTACTCGTACTCGGTTTATTTCCCAACAACTGGTAATCAGAGCTTTTGGTTGTGAATTTTGTCAATTTTTTGCGAGGTTACTATTCACGTGAATAGTAAATTTTGTGAATAGTAAAATTTTATCGACGATACGAATTTGTCGACGGAGGTGTTCTAATACACGGTGGTTCGCAAGAATTGTCAGAAACGATCCAAACGAAACCAGATTCGAGTTGGAGCGATGGCTGCAGACGAAGGGAATGTGAAAATTGAAAATTTCGATGGTGCGGACTTTGGCTTTTGGAAGATGCAAATTGAAGATTTTCTGTACCAGAAAAATCTATATCAACCTCTCTCAGGAAAGCAACCAGAGGGCATGAAGTATGAAGATTGAGCTCTTCTTGATAGACAAGCCCTCGGAGTTATCCGACTGACGTTGTCCCGCAATGTTGCTTTCAACATAGCAAAGGAAAAGACCACGGCGAGTCTTATGGCGGCTCTCTCCAGTATGTATGAGAAGACATCGGCCTCAAACAAAGTTTATTTGATGAGGCGATTGTTCAATTTAAGGATGGAAGAAGGGGCATCGGTGGCTCAACACCTAAATGAACTCAACACAATCACAACCCAGTTGAGTTCCGTGGAAATTGAATTCCATGATGAAGTTCGAGCTTTAATTCTCTTATCATCTTTACCAGACAGTTGGAATGTTACTGTTACAGCAGTCAGCAGCTCGTTGGGAAACAGCAAATTAAAATTCAACGATGTTCGGGATCTGGTATTGAGTGAAGAAATTCAACGGAGAGAATCGGGTGAAGCATAAACCTCCTCAGCCTTACACACGGAGTCCAGAGGGAGAACTTCAGAAAGAAATTCAAATCGTGGCAGATCCAAATCCAGAAGGTGAAAATCAAGAACAGGAAAGAAAGATTTTACCTATTATAACTGCGGCAAGAAGGGTCACTTTAAAAAAGATTGTCGAGCACCGAAGAAAAATATCGGCGCACAGGAATATGCCAACGTGACAGAGGATACAGGTGATGCCATGATTCTAAGCGACAACAGTCTGATTGAATCATGGATCTTGGATTCAGGAGCATCTTTCCACTCCACCCCATGCCGAGAAATCATGGAGAACTATGTCAGTGGTGATTTTGGGAAGGTTCATCTAGCTGATGATGAAACCTTGAAGATCGTCGGAAGAGGAGACATCCGACTAAAGCTGACAAACCAGACCACCTGGACGCTGAAAGGTGTGAGACATATTCCTGGCCTAGAAAGAAATTTGATTTTCGTAGGACAGCTTGATGGAGAAGGTTATAGTACAACCTTTTCAGGCTGTGAATGGAAGATTACAAAAGGAGCACTCGTCATTGCTCGTGGTAAGAAGACTGGTACTCTCTATGTAACATCAAATTTAGAGAATATCATTGTTGTAGCAGATGTTGATGGAAAATCAAACCTATGGCACCAAAGGCTTGGCCATATGAGCGAGAAAGGGATGAAGACGCTTTTGTCAAAAGGGAAGCTTCCGGATATAAAGAATGTAGATGTCGGACTATGTGAGGATTACATCTTTGGCAAACAAAAGAAAGTCAGTTTTACAAAGATTGGCAAGACACCCAAGGTAAAAAGGTTAGAGTTGGTTCATACTGATGTATGGGGACCATCTCCAATTCCATTTCTTGCAGGCTCATTATATTATGTCACTTTCATCGATGATTCAACAAGGAAGGCGTGGGTTTATTTTCTGAAGAAGAAATCAAAAGTCTTTGATACCTTCAGAAAATGGAAGGCCATGGTGGAAAATGAGACAGGTTTGAAAGTCAAGCGGCTGAGGTCTGACAATAGAGGAGAGTACAAAAACAGAAGATTCAGAGATTTCTGCGCAAACAATGGGATCAAGATGGAGACAACAGTTCCCATGACACCGTAGCAGAATGGCGTAGCAGAGCGCATGAACAGAACTCTGAATGAACGTGCCAGAATCATGAAGATACATGCCGGATTGCCCAAATTTCTATGGGCTGAAGCTATCAACACTGCAGCTTACTTGATCAATCGTGGGCCCTCAATTCCTTTGGATGGAAGAATACCAGAGGAAGTTTGGAGCAAGAAAGAAATAAACCTTTCACACTTAAGAGTGTTTGGTTGTATTTCTTATGTACACATAAACTCTGCTGAAAGAAGTAAACTTGATGAAGAAGTAAACTTGATGTCAAGTCCAACAAATGTGTCTTTGTTGGTTATGGAGGTGATGAGTTCGGTTATCGATTTTGGGACTACGAAAATCGAAAGATCATCAGAAGCAGAGATGTCATTTTCAATGAGAATGTGATGTACAAAGACAGGTCAACTGTAGAATCAAGTAGCTCCAATAC